GTAAGGAATTTTCTCGAATTCCTTATCGGGGTTGACTGCTGCGCGTACAACCCGATTTTCGGAGTTCGCACGTTCGGGCGATTTCCACGCTGCCGAGGCTCCCCGCGTCGCCTTCGGCATTCCCATCGCCAAACCTGCACCCAACCTCGCTCGCCCGAGGTTTCCTCCTAGCTAGGCTAGCCCTACATTAGTCTTTGCCTTCATTGTATGCTCAGATTCATTCAGTCACAGCCTCGATATTCGTTTACCTGCGCACTCTCTTTTACAACTCATAACACCTGGTATCAGAGCTACTTTCCTAGTTCACCCCGCTTTTCGAGGGTAGTTTGGTGGCATAGGGTGTGGCTGGTTTAGTGACTACACGACGGTTGGCTGCAGAGGTTGTTAATTCAATCCTGCCCGACTCCGATAGTTCGTGTTTTCATTTGCCTGAAGGCCACGGGGACCCGACTGCCCACCAGACGTAGTGCTAGGCACATGGATCAGGAGGCTGTTAACCGGATGATGGCGCAAGTGGCAGAAATGCAGGAGAGCATGAAGACATTAATGGCGGAAGTGACAACACTGCGGGAGGAAAACGCCGAGCTACGCCAGACGCGAGGTGAAGCGCGTCAGACGTCGCCTGTGGACGAAGGCGAGGGCAACAGTCAGGCGATGAGCAATCCGCTGGATGCGCTCACACGTGACTTCGAAGAAGAAGATAGGCAGCGAGCGGCAGCAGCGCCAGTTGCAGTTACGACGATCAAGATCAAGCCCGTCAACCCGCCCCCGTTTAATCCTACGGATAAGACTACTACAGTAAAGGGGTGGCTGTTCGGTGTCGAGGTCTTCTTCACGGCAGCAGGCGTTAACGACGATGCCACGCGTATTAATTACGCGGTTTCGCTTCTTCGAGGCGCGGCGCTTGAATGGTGGCGCCGGACCTTGGAAACAGGGACGCCGACAGGTGTGACACATGCGGCAGACGGGACCTCTGCGACAACTAATCAAGTGGCAGAACCGATCTTTGGTGTGACCACGATACGCACGTGGAAGGAGTGGGGCGCAGCCTTGCGAAACCGTTTCGAGCACGTATCCGCCTCGGAGCAAGCTCGCATGAAGCTGCGTGCCTGGTCGCAGATGGCATCTGTCCAAGACTACACAGCGTCGTTCATGGGACTGGCCGACCAAGTCGATGACATGTCGGAAGCAGAGCGGTTGGATAAATATATCAGCGGCATCAAGTACGAGATTCAATACGAGGTGCGCAGGGGCCGCCCGACATCATTCCTTGAAGCAGTACGGCTAGCAGAATCCACGGACGCGCTGATGCAGTACGCGAGAACAGCTTCCAGGGATGGAAACCGTTTTCGTGGCCAGACCCATCGGGCCACTATCAACGCCGTCCATACACCCGACCGCCCTCCTAAGGGACCGTGTTACCGGTGTGGGAAGACGGGTCACTACATGAAAGACTGCCCCGAGAAAACGTCGCCGACAGGGAACGACAGGAAGGAGCAGGGAAATGGGAAAAGTCAGTAATTAGCGGGCCCTTTACTGACTACGCTCCGTCGCCCGAACCCCACCATCCCCACCGAGTCGTGGTTCCGATTCATGCAATCGATCGCACTCAACCGAATAACGGGGATAATCATGTGGATCACCCTGTGCTGGTCGCTGGCAAGGTGGGAAAAAATAACCTTAAAATGTTCGTCGATGGGGGGGCCAGCCATAGCCTCTTCAACTTGGCGAGCGCAAAAAGATGCAACCTACAACTTGACAGGTGTCTGCCCGAAATCGACGCACGACTCGTGGATGGGACGCCTCTGGCGATAACGGAAGAAACACGGACGGTGCGGATCGAGTGCGGCGAAGATTTCGGCTTCAGCATGAAGTTTCTCGCGACGACGCTGGATGGCTGCGACGTGCTGCTGGGACGTGATTGGCTGCGACGACACAACCCCGTCATCGACTGGACAACGGGATCGTGCTGCGTCAGCAAGCACGAGGGGCTAATTAAGTTGCCTGCATGGACACCTGACTACATCCTTGCCCCGTGCGTCAAAGCTATCACCATTGCCCACCACTTCAACAGGGGTGCGCAGCTGTTCGCCGTCTGCTTGCGCGAGTTGGCAGTCGACACCGACGGAAAGGACATCGAGAAGCTGTGTGCAGCTGTCCCTCCGGATTTAGCGGAGCTGATTCGACAGTACCCCGACATTTTCCCGGACGATCTGCCACCTGGGCTGCCACCCGAGAGACCCGAAGACCATAAAATCCAGTTGGAACCTGGTGCGCAACCTACTGTTCGGACACAGTGGCGGTTGACCCAGCCGGAACTCGAGGAGCTACGCCGACAAATTGACGCACTGTTGGAGAAAGGCTTCATTCGGCCGAGCACCTCCCCGTTTGCGACACCGATCCTGTTCACTCCGAAGAAGGACGGCGGGCTTCGCATGTGCATCGATTATCGCGCGTTGAACCGGGTGACCATCAAGTCTCGCTACCCAATCCCACGCAC